AGAAATTCAGGGCTTCCCTGCCTGCCATTGTGTCTGCATGGCCCAGACAGCACTGGTTCTCGACCCTCCTGAACCTGTCGTGCGAGAGGCCAGTCGCTCTCCTGCTGGTCTCCGACCTGATCACGCAGAACTTCAGCAGGCTTCGCCACTCAGACGTGCAGTCCCTGCACCTTATGGCATGGAAGCTCTGTGGCTGACAGCAGTGGAGCTTCAGTGTTTGGCTTGGGCGCAAGAGGTACTGCTGGGGAGTAGGAAACCGTCTTCTAGGGCTACATACCTGGCCAAGTGGAAGCACTTCTATGTCTGAACTATCCAGAGGGTGATATCGCTATGGTTGCCCCAGTCCCACTGGTCCTGGACTACCTTCTGGATCTTAAGCAGCAGGGAGTGGCCTCCTTCTCAGATAAGGTTCACCTAGTGGCTATCTCCGCTTTCCATGCGAGTGCTAGGGGTAAGACCCTCTTTGCAGACGCAATGGTGAACAGATTTTTGAAGGGCCTGGACAGGCTTTACCTGCACATTCAGCAACCTGTACCCCAGTGGGACCTCAACCTGGTCCTGTCTAAACATATGGGACCTCCCTTTGTACCCTGGCAACGTGCTCATTGCTGCACCTGTCCTATAAGGTATCCTTTCCGGTGGCTATCATGTCGGCCAGGTGTGTATCCGAGCTAAGGGCCCTTACCTCGGACCCTCCTTATACAGATTTCTTCAAGGACAATGTCAGATTGCACCCCCACCCCACCTTCTTTCCGAAGGTGCTGTCTAACTTCCATATGTCGGAGTACGTTTTCCTGACAGTTTTGTACCCCAAGCCACGCACATTGGGTAAGGAACAGGCATTGCACACTTGGGATGTCAGGATGCCTTTTATTTAGAGAGAACGAAGCCCGTCTGTAGGTTGCCTCAGGTCTTAGTTGCCATTGCAGAGCGGTCGAAAAGCCAGCCAGTTTTTGCGCAAAGGATCTTCTCCTGGATCATGGCTTGTATTAGCGAGTGCTACGGGCTGGGCGGGGTTCCACTCTACCAGAACTCAAGCCTTCTCTGCAGCCTTTGTAGCTCAGGTCTCGATCCCGAACATCTGCAGAGCCACCATGTGGTCCTCTGTCCACATCTTTGCCAATTGCTATGCACTGGTACATCAGGCAAGAGAGAATGCTGCCTTGGGCAGGGCTGTCCTCCAATCAGTGGAAGGATAAAATTCTGACACCACCTCCTGGGGTTTCTCCTTTGGAGTCATGTACATGGAGTGGACACGAGCAATCACTCAGAGAAGAAAGAACGGATGTTTACCTCATAGCTGCTGTTCTTCGAGATGTGTTGCTCGTGTCCATTCCAAATCCCGCCTGCCTCCCCTTCTTCCTAGTGGTCCAATAAGAAGGAACCGAGGGGTGGAGGGCCAGCAAGGGTATATATTGGCTGGTATAGTGGTGCCACTGTAGGGGGCTCCCCTGCTGGCCCAACAGGTACTGCTAAGGGAAAAATTTCCGACGACACGTGCACGCTGCGCATGCACACTCACATGGAATGGACATGAGCAACACATCTTGAAGAACAACAGTTGCGAGGTAAGTAACCGTTCTTTCTGCAAAACACTGCATTGTGCAGTGGCACAGAATCCCCCATGCATAATATATTGCGTACAAAAAATAATGATCAGTGAGCTATTAGTTTTCCAGTAATATATTCTATGCCACCTTCTAGGAATATATCATGACAACAGTGGGTCAGATGTTGTAAGGATGACAAGCCTGATCAGAATTGCTGATAGAAAAGTGAAATACCAATAGGCTGCTATGTTAGAATCAGTAGCAACCAAAATTTGTCATCTGACAGATATTTGTTGGCTCCTGTATTTAATGTGTTTTTAAAAACAGGGAGATTACAACACAAGTGATTCTCATTACAGTTAGTCTCCTTAGACACCCTGAATATATGGAAATGAAATTACCTTATCACACTTGGGCCAGAAGAGTGGCATTGTATGGGGAAGCTTGCACTTGTACTGTCCAGGTGGTAGCTTTTACAATAATAAAGCCAAGGAATAGGGCCTTACCAATTTCATGGCTGTATAAAATGTCACACTGTGACATTAATCTTGCCCCTTGAAATATGATCTCCCAGGAATCAGTCAGTCTGGAGAGAGACAGGACTTATCCTTCCCCTGCTCATCTGTTATTGGAGGGAGATCAAACCCACAGCAGCCTCAGAGCTGGGCTTCAGGCTCCTGAACTGGCTCAGGGACCCTAGACTGTGGGCTGCTGCCTTCCACAGCTTCTGCTGTGACTCCAGGCTGCTGCTCCTCTCTGCCCACCCACCTCCTCCCCCGCAGGGGCTGGGAACCCTTGGGACTCCCCCAGTGATGCTTGCCTGGGTTTGAGACTCCAGATGGTGGGATTGCTGCCGCTGCTTCCCTTTGCTCTACAGTTCCTGCTGGGGCTCTGGGCACTTAGGGCTCCTGTTCCCTCCCTCCACTGTAACTCAGGAAGCCTGAGCTCTGATTTGCTTCCCCTCCACACACTTTCTCTCTGGTTCCTGCCAGAGCTTTGGGCACTCAAGCTCTGGGGTTTTTGTCTGTCCCCTGCTCCCAGTGGCTCCTGCTTGAATTCAGGAAACCTGAGTTCTAGGATTGCTGCTGCTGGCCCCTCCATCCCTTGCAGTTCCTGCCAGAGCTCAGGGCTCATGGGCTTTGCTCAGACTCAAAGCCTGGGCTCTTCACCCTTCTCTCTTCTTCCCCCTTGATGCTGTTCCCGCCTAGCACCTCCTGCCGGGGCTGGAGGATGCCTGGTCTCTAGCTGGAACTCAGGGATTACACCTCACTCATCTCATTCCTGGATTCAGAGGAGATGCCTGCCCTTGGGGCTTTTGCTCCCCCCACCCCAGCTCCTGACTGAGCTCCATGCTTCCAGCCTCTTCCTCTCTGTAACTCCAGTTGGGATGTGGGGTACCCAGGCTTGAGGCTTCAGCATCCGTGGCTTCTGCTGGGACTCAGAGCACCTGATCTCAGGGCTTTAGCCCACACAGTGCCTGCTAGGGCTCTGATTGTCTGGACCCATGCATTAATCCATCACTCACCCTGACATTAACTAGCAGTTAGGAGCCCCTGTTTGGGACCTTCACAGTAGCACAGGGGAGATTGCAACTACTCCACTTCTGGGAGCCTCCACCAACTGAAGACCCATGACTGTAAAATTCACCTAAGTGAACCATGAATTTGGTAGGGCCCTGCCAATGAAGGATGGGAAACTGGACCCATGCATTAATCCATCACTCACCCTGACATTAACTAGCAGTTAGGAGCCCCTGTTTGGGACCTTCACAGTAGCACAGGGGAGATTGCAACTACTCCACTTCTGGGAGCCTCCACCAACTGAAGACCCATGACTGTAAAATTCACCTAAGTGAACCATGAATTTGGTAGGGCCCTGCCAATGAAGGATGGGAAACCTGACTTTTTAATGGCAATGTACTTAATTTATCTTCTCTCTTGCCTTCCTCCAAGACCGGCTTCGAGACACATTGATCCATGAGATTTGCCATGCAGCCACGTGGGTAATCAATGGAATTCGAGATGGCCATGGACAGTTTTGGAGATTCTATGCTAAGAAATCAACTGTGGTTCATCCAGAGTTGCCAGTGGTGACACAGTGCCACAACTATGAGATTAAATACAAGTTCACTTATCAGTGTTCTCTGTGCAAAACCACGTGAGTACTATTTACTTGCCTTTGCTCAAATGTTAACTTTAACTTTAAATTAAAATTAGACCTTTTAATTCTTAAAGCACTTTGAGAATTAAAGGTCTCACCTCCGTGAACTGAGCATTCTTTTTATTGCCTTATCTTCCCTTTTCTAATCCCATAAAGAATCCCAGACTGATCCTCTTGATACTGGCTTCCAGGCAGCATTTCCCTCCTGCACCCATATGCAATTATACTTATGACAAACCTGCCTCCCCCCTGCTTGTTCTCTTTTTAATGGCTTAGTTGAGAAAAGATAGTTAAGAGGCAAGTTCTTTTTGGTGAGCAGTCTGGAAATCAGTGAGGATTTGAAAAATTCATAACTTTCAAGGCCAGAAAAAGACATGTAATCATAGAAAATTAGAGTTGGAAGAGACCTCAGGAGGTCATCAAGTCCAACCTCTTGCTCAAAGCAGGACCAACCCCAACTAAATCATCCAAGTCAGGGCTTTTTCAAGCCAGGCCTTAAAAACCTCTAAGGGTGGAGATTCCATCACCTCTCTAGGTAATCCATTCCGGTGCTTCACCATCCTGCTAGTGAAATAGTTTTTCCCTAATATCCAACCTAGAGGACACCATTGCTCCTTTTTCTGTTATCTGTCACCACTGAGAACAGCCTCCCCCTGTCAGGTAATTGAAGGCTGCTATAAAATCCCCCCTCACTCTTCTCTTCTGCAAAACTAAGGAAGAGCAGTTCCCTCAGCCTCTGCTTATAAGTCATGTGATCAAGCTCCCTAATCATTTTTGTTGCCCTCTGTTGGACTTTCTCCAATGTGTCCACATCTTTTCTGTGGTGGGGGGCCCAAAACGACACAGTACTCGAGATGTGGCCTCACCAGTGCCAAATAAAGGGGAATAATCACTTCTCTAAATCTGCTGGCAATGCTCCTATTAATGAAGCCCAGTTTGCCATTAGCCTTCAGGGCAATAAGGGCACACTGTTAACTCATATCAGGCTTCTCATCCACAGTAATCCCCAGGTGGTCCTCCTCCTGCTGATTTAGACAGTTGGTGCCCAGCCTGTATCACTGAATGGAGTTCTTCCATCTTACAACTGGAAGGGACCTTGTGGGGGTTCAAGTCCCACCCCCTCTTCCTTGTGCTACCTTGCCCCGTTCCCGAGTGCTTAATTGTCCACAGTCCACACGTCTATTCCGCCGGGATATGTGGGGTGGGGGGTCTGGGCCCACCCTCACTCCCAGACCCCAGCTCAGGGCCCTAAGGACAGTATTGCTGGGGATCTGTCCCACTGGGGGGCGTCCGCCCCCGAAACCCGCCGGTGCGCCAGCTCCTCGCCCTGCCCTGGGCTACTTCCACCCCACCTACGTCTCCCTATGCCTTTCGTGCTTCTTCGCCTACTCCCTCTCCCTTTCCCCTACGTCCGCCCCCGAAACCCGCCAGTGCGCCGGCTCCTCGCCCTGCCCTGGGCTACTTCCACCCCACCTACGTCTCCCTATGCTTCCCGTGCTTTTTTGCCTACTCCCTCTCCCCTCCTCCCTGTGACGTCATTGCCGGCCACCATTTTCCTGACGCACTGCGTCTGACGTTGCCTAGCAACGTCTCCTGCCCTGCCGCTCACCAGACGCGCGGCCGCGCTACACAGCCGGCACGCGCGTAGTTCGCGTCGGGCGGCCCCCAGCAGCGAGAGGGCAACCGCCGGATCAGTGCGGGGTGGGCCCGTTTCGGGGGGGTAGGCGGGCCCCACCCCGTCACAGACCTCAAGACATCAAATCAGTCCCCTGCTTTCACAAAGTACCATCTAGACCATTCCTGACCACCATCAGTCTAATTTGTGCCCTGGGCTACTTCCACCCCACCTACGTCTCCCTATGCTTCCCGTGCTTTTTTGCCTACTCCCTCTCCCCTCCTCCCTGTTTGCCCTGCTTCTCCCCTCTTGTATCCTCCCCCCCTCGTCCAGCTCCTCCTCCTCCCCTGACGTCATTGCCGGCCACCATTTTCCTGACGCACTGCGTCTGACGTTGCCTAGCAACGTCTCCTGCCCTGCCGCTCACCAGACGCGCGGCCGCGCTACACAGCCGGCACGCGCGTAGTTCGCGTCGGGCGGCCCCCAGCAGCGAGAGGGCAACCGCCGGATCAGTGCGGGGTGGGCCCGTTTCGGGGGGGTAGGCGGGCCCCACCCCGTCACAGACCTCAAGACATCAAATCAGTCCCCTGCTTTCACAGCTGTACAAAGCACCATCTAGACCATTCCTGACCACCATCAGTCTAATTTGTTCTTAAATGTCTCCAATGATGGAGGTTCCACAACCTCCCTAGGCAATTTATTCGAGGACTTAACCACCATGACAGGAAGTTTTTCCTAATCTCCAACCTAAACCTCTCTTGCTGCAATTTAAGCCCATTGCTTCTTGCTCTATCATGAGAGATTAAGGAGAAAAAAATTTCTACCTCGTCCTTGTAGCAACATGTAAGTACTTGAAAGCAGTTACCATGTTTCCTCTTTTAGTCTTTTCCAAACTAAACGAATCCAATTCTTTGAATCTTCTCTCATGGTTTATGTTTTCTATATATTTCATCATTTTTGTTGCTCTTTTCTAGATGTTCTCCAATTTCTCCACGTCTTTCCTGAAATGTGGTGCCCAGAACTGGATACAATACTCCAGTTGAGGCCTGATCAGTGCAGACTAGAGTGGAACAATGACTTCTCATGTCTTGCTCACAAAACTCCTGTTAATGCAGGGGTGGGAAAAAGCTGCTCAGTGGGCCGGATCCGGCCCCCTAGGACTTTAATCCAGCCCGTGAGGCAGTTTCAAGCCCCACTCCCTAATTCAGGGTCGGCAAGCTGTGGCACATGTGCTGCAGCAGCACAGGGGATGGAGCTCAGCCTTGCCCCTACTCCCACCCCCTGTAGCCGCTGGAGAGCCCTCCCTCCTTCCTGCAGCAGGTTAGGCTGCAGTGGGAGGAGGCAGCACTGGGGTTGAGGCTTCTCAGCAGTGCCTCGGCCACACAGTTCGGGGCCGGCTCAGACTGCAGGTTGACACGATATCTTTCCAGTACCAAGATATCTTTTTTGAGATGAGACAACCACATCTGCATTCAGTATTCATGATGTGAGCATAGCATGAATTTATAGAGGCATCAAGATATCTCTGTTTTATTATCTAACCCTTTTTTTAATTATTTCAAACATTGTTTGCTTTTTCTGACTGCTGCTGCACATTGCGTGGATGTTTTCAGAGAACTCTTCACAGTGACTTCAAGATCTTTCTCTTGAATGGTAATAGCTAATTTAGTCCCCATCATCTTGTATTTACAATTGGGATTATGTTTTCCAATGTGTATTACTTTGCATTGTAAAATTCATTTGTCATTTTGTTTTCCTTTCACCTACTTTTTGAGATCCTTTTGAAGCTCTTCAGAGTCTGCTTTGGATTTTGCCATCTTGAGCAGTTTAGTATCATCTGCAAATTTTGACACCATTTACCCCTTTCTCCAGAGACTTTTGGTGAGGCGCTTTTTCAAAAACTTTCTGAAAATCTAAGTTGAACAAAACGCCCCAGAATCAATTCCTGCGACACTTCACTGTATATTAGCTGCCAGCTGGACATGCATCATGGATCACATTGTGTTGAGCCTGATGATCTAGCCAGCTTTCTATTCTCTGTATAGTCCATTCATCCAATCCATACTTTAACTTGTTGGCAAGAATACTATGGGAGATCATATATCTTGACTTTAGCAAAACTTTTGATATCACATCCTTTGCTTTCCCCTTATCCACAGAGCCTATTATCTCATCATAGAAGGTAATTAGGTTAGTCAGGCATGACTTACCCTTGGTGAATCCATGTTGACTGTTCCTGATCACCTTCCTCCTCTTCAAGTGTTTCACTGATAATCTAGTCATACCTTCTGCAAAGCACAAGACAGATAATGTCACCTTGATTTCTGCATAAAGCCCAGAACAGAGTGAGCAAATGACATGACTTGCTCTAGGCAAGGATCCCCACCCCAGCCCAGCCCTTTTGATGTCGGAGACTCATGCACAACACACTGCAGCTGTCCCTTAAAACCCTCAATCTATTTTATAATAATTAAACTCAGTTTGCTCAGTCTCCATCCTGTAAGCACACTGAGTCCCTGATAGCCCCAACCCTTAATAGCTGGTGTTCCACATGGAACAAAAGGTTTTCTTCTGGGATACTCAGAGTTTTCAATATTTCTGACCCCTTTGATCTTCTGAGGGACACACCTACCTTTCCAATCTTGATTCCTTATTTTCTCTTCAGTAACTAGGGGCATGTTTACCCACCAGATCGACAGGTTGATTTATTGTGTATAATATATAAAAAATAAATAGACTACTGAGCACTCTCCTGTCAACTCCAGTGCTTAGCAAGAGCGAGAAGTATAAGCAGAGTCAATGGGAAAGTGTCTGCCACACTGTGGTAAGTGGATCTTAAGTACATCAACTTCAGCTAAATTATTAACATAACTGAAGTTGTGTAACTTACATTGATGGTCCATGGAAGTGTAGACCAGGCTTATAATGCTTTTTACATAGAGAAAGTAATAGTGGAACAATATTAAGGAAACAAGATAAACATTAAACTCAATGTTCATATTATGAGACTATTTGGATCTCTCCCTACTTTGCTATTGGGAGTGTAATGCAGGAGCTGTGGTACTCTGAGCTCACCTTTTACCAAGAAACTTATTTGAAACACAAATAGAAAAACTAAGCTGCTCATTGAGATTGTCTAAACCTTTGCTTATCCCATTGTAAGTGGTACAGAGCTGGTGGGACTACTTGGATGTTTGAAAATTGAGCAGAGATCTAGAAAAAGTATTGTGGGGAACAGTGCTGTGCTTGTGAAGAAATAGTACTGGATGACTCGATTTTCTTCCATACCCGCTTTTTGCCCAGTCAAAATTCTCTTGACTCCACAGCAAATTAAATTCTATGGCAGGCCCCCCAGCTTCTGCATCACTTCAGTGTGGTTGAT